TCCCACGTAGTCGACCGTGGTTTGCGTCCCAGACCCGGTGGCTTAAAACTCACGCCGGGCATGTGTGTGTGCATAACCAAGATCCCGAGAGGAGAATGGAGGAGAAGGGATTGCGGTGTGACCATCCCCTCTGGGGGGTGATTTCTCATTTTCTGTCTCTAATGTCTCTCTCTGACTGTCTGGCGAGCGCACGCGCCCTATAGCGAAAATAAAAAAAAAAAAAAAAAGAAAGAAAGAAAAGGGCAATTTCAACCCCAGACAAAGGGAAAATGGGCAGTCCCAGAGTTGAAGAAAAGGAAAGGTAGATCTAAGGGAAGAGAGGTAGACCAGGCTTCTGAACCCAAACGTGGATTAGCAGGACTGGAAGGAGCCTGGAAACGCCCAGTAGGAAAACGCTGAACTTCATCCTTGGCCTCGGTAACCTAGAAACATCATTGTCACCCTTGTGACCATTAGTGTAAGGCTAAACAGCCGAAGATCCAATTCAATAGCACCCTTTTATTAAATATAATCACCACACTTTTAATGAGCACGTGCTGCACTCTGAGCACTCTGCCTTATGTTTGGGATACATCCGTGGGCAGGAGGGACAATGATCACTTTCCTTTAACATCTTATTCTAGCCGAAGAAGACAGACAACAAAAATGAACACAGCAAAGAGGTGAACTGTAGAGTATGTTCAAAGATGGGAAGCTCCGTAGCAAAAATAAAAAGTGCAAGAGGAAAGGACTGGGAGTGTGGCAGGGAGGGGTGTGCAGAGAGAGGTTCTCACTGGAGAGATGTTAACTGAACAACCATCTGAAAGAGGAAGGTGGGAGTCAGCCACACGGGCTGCCACCTGTGTGAAAGGCCACCCAAGCAGAGAGAACAGACAGTACAAAGGCCTTAGGTGGGAGCATGACCAGGCACTCAGGGGAAGGCAAGGAGGTCAATGTGGGAGGAGAGAGGGACAGTGACGAGGTAGGAAATGAGGTCGGAGAAATACAGGGGCCTGCTCCCCGGGGCCTTGAAGAGCAGGGCTTGACTCCCAGTGAAATGAGAGCCACTATGGGCTCCTGGCAGGACGCTGATTACACTTTAGAACTGTCGCCCTGGTGTTGTGTTGAGCATCTCCACCTGTGGGCAAGGAATGGCAGAAAAAAGGACCAGCCCATGGTGCACAGAGGAAGCCAGATCTCACATGCTCACATGCCTGGCCAGGGCCAGGGTTCAAATCTCTCCCTAGTGGCTTGACAGACACACCTGGCACACATGCACCCATGTCCAGGATCCTGATGGGATGAAGAATTGGAGGGAAAAGGATGGCATGACCAGGCCCCAATGGAGGATGGTTCTCTCTCTCTCTTTCTTTCTCTCTCTCTAGCATTTAAAAAAGAAAAGTAGAAGAAAGACCAGTAGGAGGCGACCACAGTAATCTGTGTGAGAGACGGCAGACTCAGGGAGGAGAGCAATAGAGGAGGCGAGAGGTGTTGGTTTTCTGGCAATATTTGGAAACCAGAGACGAGAGGATTGCTGCAATTCTGGATTATCTGTGGGATGAGGAAAATAAACAGGCCTGAAGCATCACTCCATGGTGTTCGACCTGAGCAGTGGGAAACCCTGGAGTGTCCACCACCGGAGATGCGGAAGGCTGCAAGGGGATTGGTTTAGAGAGCTCACCAGGAGCTGGGCTTGGGCTTGCTGGGACTGAGCTGTCTGGGAGACGTCGAAGGGGGGAAGTCATGGAGACTGCGGACGCACAGCCTGATATCCAGGAAGAGGTCCAGGGCGGACATTTACAGTAGGGGTGACAGAGAGAGCTGGCACTGAGAGGACGAATGTGGAGAACTCTAATGACCTAAGTGTGGACAAGGAGGGAGGACCAAGTGGCCCTGGAACAGCTGAGATGGAGAAAAGAGGAGGAACCCTCCGGTGGACCAGAAGGGGCAGCAGAGAGGAAGAACACTCAAAGTGGGGTGTCCTGAACAGCAAGAGAGAAAGATACTGGGGTTGGGGGAGGAAGCAGTGATCTGCTGTTTAATGCTGCCCAAGGGTCAAGTGAAAAAGGACAGAGAACGGCCCAGTGGCCTGGGCATGTGGCAGATGTTGCCAACCGGACACAGCAGCTTGGTGGAGTCGGGGCTGTGGGGTCAAGGAAGCCAGCTGGAATGGGTTTAAGAAGAAAGAGGAATCTAAGACAGGGAATGTGGAAGCCTGCTCAAGGAAATATCCAAGAAAGGGAAACAAGGAAAGGAGAAAAAAGAACCAAGGTGGGCCAGCAGATGGCATAGTGGTTACGTCGCTGGACTCCCACATGGTCAACTGTGGTTCAAGTCCTGGACCTCGGGGCTTGAAACTCACTCCAGGTGGATGTGTGTGTGCCCAAGATCCCAGAAGGAGAATGGAGGAGAAGGGATTGTGGTATGGCCATCTCCCCTGAGGGGTGATATTTCACCTTCACTTCCACTGTCTCTGTCTCTCTCTGGTGAATACACACACCCTAAGGCAAAAACCTCTACCCCTCCCAAAAAAGAGAGAGAACTGAGTCAAAAGAAACATTCCATTTTTATTCCCACTGCAATGGGAGGAACCATGGCGTGTGTGTGCACTCTAGTGATCCCAACCAGGAGAAGGAGTCATTGAGGAAGGCGAGACCACGGGAATTTCTGCAGCAATGCCCCTGCCTACGTGCATGGAGGCCAGGGGAAGGCACGGACTATAGGTGGGAGCATACAGGCTCTTTAGGCATCACTGTATTTTCAACAAAAGAGTGGTCACATGGGTTCATTTCAACTTCACAGTGTAACATTACTAGAAACAAGAACTAGGCATGTGACTAGAATTTGTTGTTAATATAAGAATGTTCACTTTCAAATGTAGTATGCATTTGAGGTATAAATTAAGTGAAACACTAAAAAATAATTAATAGGTTAGCCTGAAATAAAACAATGATTCATGGTTTTTATGAAACTATTTATTTATTGTCCAGAAACAAGTAAGAACTTTCAATTACTGGACGTCCAGTGCCTTAACCACCATGCCATCTGCCGGTTCCATATTTGATATTCTTCACATTCTTGCCTTCTCACTTCCCTCCTCTCTCTCTCGCTCTGTCCCTCTCTGGTAAAAAAAAAAAAAAAAACACCTTAAAAATAAATAAAGTTAAATAAAATAATTCTTTTTTAAAAAAGACTGTTGGGTGTGGGATGAGAAAGACACTGTGGGTCGCGTCTGAGGATGAAGGCTGATGTGAAGGTTTATGAGACCTCAACACAGGGGTCAGGGTGACTCACCTCACTGTCTCCTGGATGACACCAGGTAGCAGGGGCCCCGATATTCCAATATCGCCCAAGGTTACAGCCATTGATGAACACAAGTCTGTAAATCCAGTCCTGGAAGGTACGGGGGCTTGAGACTTACCCGCAGAATCACCCGGCCTCCAGTCCCATGGCGAGTGCCCGGAGCTAGCACTATGACCCTGGTCTTTCTGGCTCTAGGATCTGCACTCTCAGCCACCACTGCTGTTGTCCCCACGTAATAACTGCCCCTTAGTTGACAACCCAGCAGAAAGCACATGTGCATTTTCTAGAGATGATTTGGATTTGAGCAAATGCACCCGTTCATCAGAGATGAACGCTTCTCAGAACACCTTCCAATACCACCGCCTGATCTGCCAGGTCTGTCACCTGTCCTTCCTAACATGGCACCCTGCTTCTTTGCTGCACAGCACCCTCCACATGTGGAACTCGGGATCAGTTATTTCACTTCCCAACGGTCTAAGGCACTAGATTATCTCGCTGTGGGTGGCTTCTCAGGGCCTGGCCAAGTGCCTTGACCATATCGAGATGAATGAGTATCTGTGGCAGAGAACTGATCAAATATGCTGTGACTCGCGGTATGACTAGGGAAACAAATGCCTCTAACGTTTGTGGCCCCATGAGAAGAGAACCACTTCCTTCTCCAAAACAGCATTATACTTAACATACTCTGGATCTCAGAAACAAAGGAAGTGTGTGTCCCCAAAAGGGAGCAAGGCGTGAGGGGCTTTCAAAAGCTCACGGAAGGGGCTAGCAGGAGGCTTGGTGGGTAAGGTACGGGACTACCACATAGCCCACCAGGGTGTGAGTCATGGACCTGGAGGTTTGCTTTCCCACTTTCTCTCTCTCTCCCTCCCTCCCTGCCTGCCTTTATTTGGTGGGTATGGGTGCTCTATGGCAAATTTAAAAATAATAATAAATAATCTTAAATAAAAATAATTCCTTTTTAAAAAGCTCATGGAAAATGGGTCTTATGAAACAAAGATACACAAATTTCCTAATTTTTTTAGACAAAAATAAACTTGTACTTTATTTTTCTACCAATTTTTTTATGTACCTTCGTACAGAGTTTCTATATGTGTTCTTGTGGCAGCAAAAAAAGTTCACTTTTTTTTTGGAGAGGTTTTTGCTATAGGGTGTGTGCACTCGCCCTGAGACAGAGAGAGACAGAGTCAGAAGGTAAGAAATTCTCCCCCCTTCCAGGATGACCTTGCCCCAATCCCTTCTCCTCCACTCTCCTCTCGGGATTTTGGTCAAGCACGTACATGGACCAGGCAGTTGTTTTAAGCCACTGGTCCCCGACTCCAACCGCAGTCAACTACATGCGGTCCAGCGACATAACCATTACACCCTCTGCTGGTCCCAAAGCATTCACATTTTTATCTCCATCAAAAACTGGCCCATCTTCCAGGGGAAGTTCAGAGAAACTAGGAAGGGGACAAAGGAGGAGCCAATGGCTCCTCGAATGCAGACTCTTCTAAAAAGCGGGATGGGAGTGGGGATGGCCCCGGGTTGGGGTGCCAGCATGCACCCACCATGGTGATGAGGCCTCTGGAGGTTTTGAATATGGAAAGTGCCAGCATCCACCTGGAAGGAAAGACCAGGACTGCGGGAGCCTATAACTACTATAAATAGATACAGTTAGGACTAAGCCTGGGCTAGGACACTCAGAAAACTTCCACAGGCTCCAGCGAAGTCCTTCCACCCCTGGCCCCAACCACCTGCCCTAACTAGCATGTTGCAAACACGGGAGGGAGGAGTGAGCTGGCGCTGGTGCTGGTGGGAAAGCGGACAGAGCCACGCACCAGTCCTAGGCGGGCAGAGAACAGGGCCAGGGTCCTGGAGGCCCAGGTGATGCCAGCGTCCCCCCCACCCACGCTGGCCGCTGGAGCGCGGGCCTCTGCGCAGTCCTGGAGTCTTCCAGCAGGCTGGGAGGAACTGCGGGCCTGGGAGAACAGCACACCGGGGTTCCCCGCCGAGATTCTACCCGTGAGCAGCAAGGGGGCGTCTGAGACCCGGAAGCCAGTTGTGCCGACCTTCCCAGGGCGCCGGAGAGTCCTCCGAGGGCCGAGCCGGCATCGAGGCTGGAGGACGCCAGGGAACTCCGAGCACGAGCGCCGCGGAGGCGTGCGGGGACTCCGGGTTTGGGGAGCTCGGCAAAAGAGGAGGCTGGGCGGTTCCCGGAGGGCAGTCGGGGCTCGCAGGCTGCGGAAGGCGACACCCTGCGTGTGGTGGACCACTGTGTGGAGTCCAGCAGGTGCCCAGAGGGGCTCCTCTCACCTGCGAAGCACCGAGAAGCGGCCGGGCCGCTGTAGCCGCAGCCCGC